TATATAATGTGATGTCACTTTAAGAGATTTCTGCGCTTTAATCCAGGTGGTGCCAAATTACGCACGGAGGCGTAATTTGGCACCACTCCTCCTCCCCCCTCCGTCCTGCGGCTCAGTGGTTCGGTCCAGTCTGCGCTCAGCAGCAGCAGCAGCTGGTGGTTCCGGCTSCACAGAACCTCAGCCCGGTTCCGGAGCTGCACGCGGAGCTTCTCTCTGTTCGTCTCGTCTCTGCAGCGTGTTTCTGGGTTTTTCCCCTCCGGTGGTAGGTCGGTCACTTCTCCTTCTGCTGTCTCCTCCTCTTTATCTTCCTCCTCTTTTTTTGATGCATCTTTTCATTTATTGAACGTTTTCATGTTTTTTTTTTCTTTCCTTTCCTGGAGCGCTTCTTGCCTCGGATCAGTTTTTGGTTTTTATTCATCTTTTCTTCTTGGTGTATTTTTTTTCTTTTTAGTTTGATCTTTGTTGTTATTTAGCTTGACTTATTCTTTCTTTTTGTTTTAAACTTCCTGTTTGCCCTGTGTGATGATGATGAAGATGATGATGGTGTAACTGGACAGCTGATGTTGCAGAGCTGTGTGATCTCAGAGGATCAGGGTGAGTTTCTGATGCAGACCTGCAGCAGCTCTTATTCTGACATCTGCAGGTTCATGCTTCAAGCTTTTCTTTTTCTTTTCATTTTTATTATTATTCTGSCTTTTAAAGAAGTTTCGGTTTGTTTTAAAAAGTTGGAGCAAATCGCTTCACATCCACAGAAACTCAACTGATGAACTTCCTGTGAATCTTTCAGATCTTCTTAATCACATCAGAGGTTGGAAAAACCACAACCTTGTTGCTCATAATGTTTCTGTTCACATGTGGGAAAAATTATTCTTAAAACAAGTGCAGGTTGTGTAATAATTGTGAGTTTGTTAAACATACATGAGTTCAAGTCTTTTCCTCCACATCCAGCGTGAAAATCATGTCTTTAAGTCTTGGTTTGAGTGTTTCCATCAGGAGTCAGTGTGAGCTGCATCCTTAGAGCTGAAGGAAGGTTTTCATGTTGGATTTAAAATAAAATAAAGAAAGTGAGACTCCCACACCGTGGGCTGCAGGGTTTACGTTGTGTTTGTGTCAGCATGCAGCTCTGGACCCAACAGAACGGTTCTGCACGATGAGATGACCGAGCCTCGGTCCAAACAGGGTTATGATTGTGGAATATGGCTCTCTGGGTTTTTTAATCTGAGAAATAAACTGAATTAAAGACAATAATCTGAGATTTTTTTTTATTTACATGTTGAGATAAACTCACATTACTGATTGTGAYACACCAACCAGCACGAACAAACAAGGATTAAAATAAAAAAGCACAAACATGTTTACTGTAAAAAAGCTAAAGAAACATTATTTGCAGTAAGCAGAAACACCTGTTTCTACCTGCAGACGTGTTCTTCACGTGTCGGTCATGAATCCCTGAAAGTCGGGGCGTCGGATGGTTTTTGGCAGCTGCCCCCCCCCCCCCAGCAGAAACAAGCCACTTGTCTTTTCAACAAAGCAGTTTTCTGTTGTTTGTCTGAGTTCTCTGACAGCCGAAGCTCATGAATATGGTCGTGAGCAGCCGGCTGACGGCTGAGGGTTTCAGCTGACTGCTTGTTTTCTGCTCAACTGAGTCACATCGTCTTCGATCTTCCAGCCGATGTCTTAGTCAGCACCTCTCCCTCTCTCCACCTCCTGGGTTTATTGTGCTCTCTTTGCCAGAACCTTCAGCTGCATTCTCATTAATGGAAATTGCTCCTTTCAGTCAGAAGTTGTGATGTTTGGAAACTTCTTCCTGATTCAGCAGAAGCAGACGAGGACCTTCGTCTTCAGCCGCTCGTCTGCTGCTGTTTTTATCTTTGTTTCCATCATCACTTGTCTCATTTGGTAGGAGAGTAATAAGATTATTTAGGTCTTGTGTTTTAGTCTGCATGAATGATTAAAATGCAATCATTTTCCAATCAAACCAAACTTTAACAAGATTATTCAAGAAAACTTGTCTCGTGTGAGTTCAGACCCAACTTTATGACTGAAAAACACGTTATTTTAATATAATATAGTAAAGGAGCAAATCTAAAAGGTTTAGGATAACAGTCCAAATATAAACCAGTCTGAACCAGATTATGGTTAATCCTGCTTTTTAAAACATTTTTAGGTAATAATTTTGACATTGCAATATATCAGAGCTATATAAACTGAAGCRYAAAAWGTAAAGAAATGAGTGTTTGGTAGATTAGTTCTTTGTTGTAATGTTGTTTTTAGCAATAAGTTTTAACGTTGGAAAGCCTGTTAATGTCCCTTTTAAATGGGGCCACATTTGTAAGGAACATGCATTTGTGGGATGAGCAGCAGGGCTGAGTGTGTGGGTTGTGCACCTACTCCTGACCAGTTCTCTGAATCGATTAATCATGATTTGATTTGATTTGATTTGATTTGATTCAATCTGCTCTTAATTATGAAAACGGTTCAACTGTGTTGCAAAAATACAAATTCACTTTATTTTTTCTTTTCACCATAAACAACAGGTTTAAAGGAGAAACTTGTAAATTAAACAGTTTAACGTCCTGATGCATCTCAGTAATCCAGGTAAAAAACAAAGGAAAAAAATAGTATAGGTCCTCTGGACGGGTTCTTCTCTAATGAAACGTTTCGTCTCTCCTCCAAGAGACTTCTTCAGTCTGAGAGTTTCGGGCAAATTCAGGCTTTTA